GAGTGGTACAATGGTCTTAATCTTACAAAAGTAGACTAAAAGATAAAACAGATCCTAAGAGTTAAGAGATACTTTGATTACTGTAGAGGGTCATTCCATGCAAATTATCTTCTGTTCCCATTAAGGTGTAGACCACCCAGGTCTGGGACCTGGGTTAAATTTAAATTCCAATTGTTGGTACATGCCTCCACTTGGGGGATGTTTTTATCTTGGTTTTGTATTTAAAGGATTGCAGCAAAAGGATCAGCGCGATTCTGTAGCCAGAGAGCCCGTAGTATGGAGTGTCTCCACACACTTCACACTATGTATTTTTCTAAAAGGTCAGGTATGCATCTTACTCTTAGATTTGTCTATGAGAATTTGATGTCTTGTATTGATTTGATATCGTTGAATTGGCTGTGGAGATAATTGGCATAATACATATTTACCTGACTGATAATAAATTGTTACATTTGACTTATTCTGACTTACTCTGAAATTATTTCCTCAAGTTAAGTGAAGGCGTATGTCTCCGCAAATCTGCGTCCAGGGTTAAGTGCACATTAGATCTCAGGTTTAGATGACGCATGGGGCGCATCAGGTGAGATTATAGGTTTCTGACTAACCGCTTGACCTTAGTTTAAGTTGTACTCAGTTACGATAACCATGTGTATGATTTCAGCTTTAATTAAGTTGTACGTGGTTATATTAACTATCGGGGGCGAGACTAAGGGTCTAGAAGAACTGCTGATTAATGTTTGGGCATTACATGGGTAACTCTAGGGGGCTAAACAGACCTACTATTTAAAACATATTAAATAGTATTAGCCACAAACCGCTGAATAAGGATCAAACTGACGAGTTTTGTGATCGTGGGGCTCACGCATGGCGGCTGCCGTGAAATACCCTAAGCGACATAGATTCCTAATGAACGAGTAAAATACAAAGTAAAGAGTTAACTAGAGTAATTGAATGTCAGAATAATCAGAGACGACAAACAACCAATCTCCCTTTCAACCTAAATTCGAGGTCGTGACAAAATGGAGTCAGATTTGAGTTAAATCTAAATTGAATAACTCTGCGTGCTGAAAAGACCGAACACGCAAGAGACCTTCATCCGCCACTGGATACCTTCATTGGGCCAAGTGCGTGGACCTTACATCATAATACAGTACAACAGGTTTAATAACTTCTTCTATAACAAAAATAACTGAACATTTAAACAGCCTACAATAAAGCAATAATAAAAATTTTAAGTGCAAAAGAATTATAAAGACCACTTTACAAAAAGACCTCATTAGTTAAGCTTAGTTAATGCATTAACATTCACAATCAGCAATAGCTACGCTTGCTACAGAAGTTATTAATCTTTGTTAAAAAATACAACTAGCTCATTAAATAACACAGTTGCAACTTTTGATTTTAACAACGTGTATTGGCGATATTTATGGTGTTATTAAGATTAATGAATGTTTAGAAGATGTTTTCATTGGCAGTTTATGTTAACTAATGAATTAACTAATGTTAACTAATGAAGCCCTAATGTAAAGTGTCGCCGAACAACAATCAAACAATATCTAGCACGTGTTGTAGTCCAGAATAAAATGTAAAAAAAAGTTTGAAAATAAATAGCCTGTTAACACAAATCTGAATGGCTATTTAAATAATTTAAATATGTTTTAGAAAGTAGCTCAGCTGCTTTGATCACAGAGGTTTCCGGGGTAACGGCTGCATTTCTGCTGTTCAGCGCCATCTGCTGTCAGAGAGTGAATGTGCGCTTTCATCCAGAGCGCACATTCAATTAATTTGGAATAAATAATTATTCTCTGTATTTTGAAGTGCCCACGATAACAACATCGTGCATATTCATTACCGTGATATATCGCATTACCGAATACCGGCACATGCTCACCTTTTACAGTTCTCGTCTAGTGTTTTCAGCACATAACAGAAACAGCATCATGTAAGAGCCGTCATAATGACCAGCGTTTCGTGAGCTCTAACAATGTGCTAATTAGTGCTTCCAGCGGAGCTGCACACTTCAGATATGAGCCACGACTGACACAATACCACTGCTCTACTGTTTCCTTCACAAACATGTGTTTGTTCAATGCTTATTTCATTTTCGAAATGATAAACACTTACCTGTCCACAGCAATGGCAACCAATGTGAAAACGGAGGCACAGACAGACGTTCCTTGCACCAGACCACTCAGTTTGCATATCGTGTTGCTGAAAGGCCAACCTGACAATGACAGAAACATGATCACACTAAATCTAGAAATTCAGTTTACTAAACTAGAGAAAGTTTGATGACAAATTTTGATGTTGGCTCGACAAAGCCTTGTCTGAATGCTTGAAATGACTTTAAAAACTTAAAGGGTTAGTTCACCCAAAAATGAAAATTCGGTCATTAATTACTCACCCGCATGTCGTTCCAAACCCGTAAGTCCTCTGTTCATCTTCGGAACACAAATTAAGATATTTCTGATTAAATCTGAGAGCTCTCCATAGACAGCAACACAACTGCAATGTTCCCAGGTTCAGAAACATAGCAAGGACATCGGTAAAATAGTCCATGCGACATCAGCAGTTCAACCGTAATTTTACGAAGCTATGAGAATACTTTTTGTGTGCAAAAAAAACAATAATATCCACTGTATCCCCTGAATGTAATCAACGTAATCAGCATTGTTTACGTTTAGCATGCGTGCGGTAACGCTCTGGGGTACTCTCCAAAATGGCAGAAGACGGTAACAAATAATACTACTGATGAAAAAGTAGTATTTTTGTTTTGCGCTACAACATGGGATTAATCAATGCACGGTGATGAACTTTATCATAGTTTATAGTTATATGGAAACGAAAGTGGTTAACATTCAACCGCTTCTTTTTCATCAGTAGTATTATTTGTGATTTGAATTTTGTGAACGGGAGTTCCTCTTTTGCTGTGTTATAAGCCGGGCTTCGGATGCTTTCGCGCTTGAATTCGCGATCTTGTCACGTTTTACAAGAAAAGATAATTGTCTGTTTTGCTTGCATGCATCTACACACCTTTCACTTTTTAAGACTAAAACAAAAGATGGATTCATTGTTATTCTTAATTAAAAAGCACAACAGCTATAAAACGGTAAGATACAATGATTTATAAAACGTTTATTAACAAGAACGAATAAGATGTGGCATGGCACACACCACATGCTGTATTATATACCGACTAATAAATTACAGAACGTGTAGCAAACACTGAGGAATCAAATAAATAAAAGAGAGCCTCCATAGCATGACGTGAGGTAAACAGCAAAGGCAACAAGCTTTTCAAAATGAAAACAAAAAGAAAAGTAAAACTAAACTTGCTGTCGGTGATGGTGCTTGCATGTTTTTGTCCCACAAGGATACCAACATGTTCACCTTCTCTGGTTTAAGAAGCGGCCTTTTACTTTCATTTAAACATCCATCGTTTCGTCAATATTCGCGTCATTTTTGCTACGCGCAGCTTCGCGCTCCTGACGCGGCGAGTATAAACCAGGCTCTACACTCGAGGCGGTTTCGTTATGCTTTCAGTTTCGTTTGCCGTTTCTCATATGCTACAGAAATGCTGCGCTTATGAGCTGAACAACACGGTGGTCGCACAACATTTAGTCGCACAGGCAGAAAAAATATCAGAAATATCTTAATTTGTGTTCTGAAGATGAAGGTCTTACGGGTTTGGAACGACATGAGGGTGAGTAATTAATGACAGAATTTTCATTTTTGGGTGAACTAACCCTTTAAATCCTGATTTATAATCACAACATCGTCTGATAAAATCAACATACATCTACACTAAAGAGCGGCTATGCGGTGGTTTTGGCTATATTTATACTTTTTTGCCTCATGCAGCGCACAGCCTGCTTCTGAGTAACAAACTATGTGTATATTAACAGATGAGGGGAAGTTGTGGCCTAATAGTTAGAGAATTGGACTCGTAACCCAAAGGTTGCGGGTTCGAGTCTCGTACCGGCAGGGATTGTAGGTGGGGGGAGTGAATGTACAGCGCTCTCTCCCACCTTCAATACCATGACTGAGGTGCCCTTGAGCAAGGCACCGAACCCCCAACTGCTCCCCAGGTGCCGCAGCATAAATGGCTGCCCACTGCTCCGGGTGTGTGTTCATGGTGTGTGTGTGTTCACTGCTGTGTGTGTGCACTTAGGATGGGTAAATGCAGAGCACTAATTCCAAGTATGGGTCACCATACTTGGCCACATGTCACGTCACTTTCTTTTTTTCACTTTCACTTTCATGAAATATGTTCATATTTATACGTCCAAACATTCAGAAAATGACACGTGGTTGCTAGGTTTGTCAGTATGTACCTTTTATGGGCAAAAAGTCGCTAAAAGGGTCTGAAAGTTGCTAAATATAGTGCTAAAGTCACTCGTTCGTGTGTGTGAGACATGGGAGCTGATGGCAGGGGGCGTTGGATATTTGTGGCGGTCAGTGAGGATACGGTGGCGGGCCATCACAAATAAATCAATGTACGGGAAACCCTGCTATACTTGGCAAACACCTAAGCAGCAACAGTGAGTTCTGCACAGGTAAATGTTACGTATCAAAAACTAGATTTCCACACCTGTGATGAGGTTGTCTACTAGCGTCGTGGGAATGCAGAAGATCCCGATTAGCAGGTCACTGACGGCCAGATTCAGGATGAAGATGTTGGTGACGGTTCTCATGTGCCGGTTCCTCAGGACTATCACACAGACCAGAGCGTTTCCCGTCAGGCACAGCAGGAAGATGAAGAGATACGCCAGCGTGAAGAGCGCGGCCGTCGGCAGAGAATGCTGGTAATAAGGAAACCGGACGATGCCCTGTACTGTGCTGGAGTTGGTGCTGTTGGTCTGGTTGGTGCAGGACACGAGATCTGAGATGATGTAGACGGAGCCGGCATCCCATAATCCCTCAGAGGCCTCCATCAATGCAAAGCAATGCTGGGAACAAACACACAAAAAATCTTTTTCTTCAGTTTTAGCTCTAATACTTTTGAAAGCCCGATTCTGCTAATTAATAAAAAACTTTTTTGTAGCTCACAATTTGGGCTATGTTTCTCGCAGTTATGAAAAAAACACATCAGAGTTGTAAGTTATACATTCAGAGTTTTTTTTTTTTTTCTTGCAATTCTGAGATTACATCGCCGCAATTTCTGCCCCTGAATAAAAATAAATAAATAAATAATAATAAATTTTAAAAAACGCAATTTCTGTTCCTGAGTAAAAAAATTAATTAAAAAAATACAATAAAAAAAAACACGCAATTTCTGCCACTGAATAAAAAAATTCATAAAAAAAAAATACAATAAATAAAATTAAAAAACGCAATTTCTGCCACTGAATAAAAATAAATAAATTAAAAAACACAATTTCTGGCCCTGAATAAATACAATTTTTAAAAAAAAATGCAATTTATGCCCCTGAATAATAATTCTATATATATATATATATATATATAAAGCCTGTTTCCACCACGGGATAAAAAAATAAAAAGGTAAATAAACAAAAGGTAATTGTGACTTTTTATCATAATTTGGAGTTTTTTTTTTTTTTTTGCAATTTCTTTGCAAACCCCCAAAGAGGGGGTTTTTTAACAGGATTGAGAGAAAAACTAAATTTAATTATGAGAAAAAACTCACAACTGCAAGAAAAAAAGTCAACTCAACTGAGAGGAAAAAAACTGCCCTTTACATTTTGTATTATTATCCCATTGTGTAAACAAGCTTCCATAAATACTGCTGACATTTAGCAACAAAACACATTGAAATAAAACACATTTAAAACAGAAAAATCCTGTTAAAAGCATCTGAACCCTGTTGACAGAGCAGCTTGCAACATCTTTCATACTGTGGTTTGCTGAAGTGATCATTTAAAGTTAAAAAGCTATTATTGAGGAATCGGATTGAGGTGAAATATATAAGAAACACACAGGTCTAGAGTTCAGAAACTAAGAGCTTTTTAATCAAAAGTCCAATTACACAAATGCTTGTTTTCTCAATCATATAATCAAAACAGTCTTACATTAGAGTGGATTTTCATGCCATCCAAACTAAAATGACAATATCACAAACTCAGATTTACTGACAGGTTGTGTTTTATTTTTCTCATTCTTTAAATTACATTATTATTATTACTGGGACAAGATAAAACGTGTTTATTTGTCATTATACAAATATCTTTATATTTATGTATTTAACTACCTAGTTATCTGGGATAAAACAATATTTTTCAATACTACATTTTTCTCCTTTGCCATTTCAGAATTGCTTTACTGTTAAATTTGCTATTAAAAAAAAATGTGACAACATGCCCCGGATCATTCAACGTCTCAAATAGTTCATAACATTTGTGTTTCATCGGTTAATGAGAGTCACAAATATCTTACCTTACTGTCCTTCCGCTAGAAGGGTGAAATAAATGCAGAGGTTGAATAAAACAAGTGTAAAAACAGCTCAGTTATGATCGAGTCCGTCTGTGATCAACTCTGCACTGATTCCAGCTGCGCTCGCCCCACTGATGTTCGATTCACGAACCGGTTGATTCATTTGAACCGACTCGTTTATGAATCACTTGACTATTATGCAAAACTGTGAGGCGAGACACATGTTTGGAGCTGTTAACGGAGTAATATTCAGAATTGAATATTTTAAATATGTTTCTATACATTAAATATATTTATTTATAATATAAATTATGTGAATATAAATATAGACATGTAAATATTTTCAAAATATATACTGTATATACATAGTAAATATACACAGAACACACACATATATTATTCAAACAAAAACTTGTATTGTAACTGGTAAGAGGACATTTCTGATCGCTGACCTGAACAAATCGAATCATTTAAATGAACCACTCAAATGAACCGACTCCCTGAAATGAATCACGTTCGCAAGTCACTCACGACCGCTTGTTCTTTAACGTGCTGCAATTAATCTAGTGTAGCTAATGATGATTAGGCTATACCTGCTGATTAATAATCACTGCCACAGAAATGACTCTAAACACTTACATTAAGTAAGGCGTTTAATATGAATGCTAAGAACCAATATAGCTCGTATTCAATTTGTCAAGCTATAATTGACTCACACATATTCATAATTAGGTAGACATACAGTACTAGAGTTACATTAGCCTACTGTGTGGGAGACTCATTTCTCAGTGTAATGCATTAACTAAACACTGAAATCTAAGAAAGGATGATTTTCTTACATCACAGAGCTGGACATTAATTAATGCATGATTTTTTGAAGGTGGCAAGTGAAAGATAATTTTACATGGCTGATTTGTGCACGATTTAACGAAAATTGTTCTTTGTCGCATTAGTCGCGCATGTCTGAGCAACACACGCGGTGATTCGTTACTAAATGATTCAGTGTATCGAACGAATCAATGATTCAGTAACCCAACTATAAAGACAGGCACTTGGTTCGTTCTTGAAAGAATCAGCCGTCTGAACGAATCATTTGAATGAATGACTCAACGACTCACTCAATAAGACGGTCACTTGCTGCCGGTTTACTTTTATATTTAAAAGTATTTCATATTTGTATATTTAAAAAAAAAAAAACTTAAAACTAAATCATAACATTATTTATGCAGCTGTAATTTTGCAGCCTATAAATGCATTCATGGCATGCTCCATGTGAGCTTTATAAAAATGCATCTAAATGCCACTTCAGCTGCTTTTGTTGATTCTGATTTCATTTGATTGGTAACAGTCCTATAGTGTCTCATTATATTAACTGTAATAATTAGTAAAATGTAACTATTTGATATGAAAAATGATGCATAAATTTAACAAGGTTAGTAAAAAGAATGCCTTTTTATAAGCAAAAATGACCTGGAAACCAATTTAAGTCAATTTTAGTGTGCATTCGTGAACTTTAATCATATAAAAAATGATTTCCCAGCAACAAAACTATGGCCGGTGAAAATGCTGAGTGGCAAGTAATTTAGGAAAACCAAGAATAGCATGCATATATGCCAGCTTTTTTATTTATTTATGTATTTTAGCATTTCGGGGTTGTTTTGCATTAAAAAAAATTATGCTAGAGGTGAGATATGAACATCAAAAATAATTGTACATGCTGTTTTCTTCCATCAGTAGAGCATTTCAAGTAAGATTCTGTGTTCTGTGCCTCATCATGCATCATGCTGTCATGTTTATTCAAAAAATTCAGCAGTATACAGTGTTTAACATATTCATAACTGCAAGAGCTAGTGCTGTGCCATTAAACAATAAGAAAATGTTCTTGTAAACTGTTTGGGTTGCTGCCAGTTTTAAAGACTTTATTCTTCTTATCTCTCAACAAATGTTCAGCTTTTATTCCCCAGCTGTGCTCGCTGACATTTCGATGCAGGTTCAGCTCGGATCCCGAAAGGGTTTAAAAACAGCAGGAGAGATGTTTGCACACAGAGCTCAAATTTGACACCGGTCTGTTAATCTCAGCAAGAAAGCAAGAGATATGAGCATTTTAAATCAACATTTAGACTAATATTTCCCACCTCCCATATGTTCCTTTTTAATATCAGCTCTTGATAATGTAATACTTTTAAAATATTATTCTCTCCTGTTGAAACTCTCAAGTATACTTTTAACGCTCCTGCAATGACATTATAATAAATACAGAGACATTTCATTTCTAATGCTGATTTAATTATATAACCTGAAAACGAAAAATGTGGATGAGTTTGTTTCTTCATCAGGTTTGGAGAAATGCAGCATTGCATCAGTGTCTCACTGCAAGTGAATGGGTGCCGTCAGAATGAGAGCTGATAAAAACATCACAATAATCCACAGCACTCCAGTCCATCAGTGAACATCTGGAGAAGACAAAAGCTGAAACTAATCCAGCATTAAGACGCTTTTAACTAAAATACATAGAGTTCATAATCCATAATAAGGCTTCCTCCAGTGTAAAAGTGTTCTGGTGTGAATCAGGAGAGAAATCTGCACAGATCAAGCAGCGTTTAAACAGCTCTAAACACATATGTGGCTGGATTCTGATGTGAGAGACAACAGCAGATGCACTTTTTCACTGGAGGAAGAGTTATTATGCACTCTATTTATTTTAGTTAAAAGCGTCTTAATTTTGGATTAGTTTCAGCTTTTGTCTTCTCCAGATGTTCACTGATGGACTGGAGTGCTGTGGATTATTGTGATGTTTTTATCAGCTCTCATTCTGACGGCACCCATTCACTTGCAGTGAGACACTGATGCAATGCTACATTTCCCCAAATCTGGTGAAGACACAAACTCATCTACATCTCGGATGGTCTGAGGGTGAGGACGTTTTCAGCTGATTTTCATGCCTTTTATAAACTATTTGCTCACCTACACCAAAACTAGTTGATTAGCTGTCTGTGTCTCAGTCTCAGGTGCAAAAGTCCAAAAACGAGATTGTTAGACCAGCTCACACTCTGTCTCTTCTTCTTCTTTTAAATAACCTGTTGCTTCAAACTCCTTTCACAAATAAAGATCAGATCTAAACACAGGGCTGCAGACGTGCATCTGCACACAGAGCGTGAGAAACCCTTCTGAAGTTGAGCCAAGCAGTTTTGAGAAGAAGCACGGCACTATAATTGATCGTGAGGCGGTTTGCTGAGGTTAAATTGACAGTTTAATGAAGCTCAGAAAGTCTCACGCAGGCGTCAGAAATACCGTCCACATTCCCAGCGGCTTTAACAGAAGCCCTCCGAACAAACACAGGCCACTAAGGTTGTTTGTGAGCTAAAATAGCCTTTCCTCTTCCAGTGAAACGATGCACTAGGTGCAATCATTACAAACTGTTTGTCGGCTCTATTTAAACTCTTAATATCCACCTAACCCACAATTCTCTGCAAATAAATCACAAATAGTTCGAAGTGGCTCATGCATCTGTTAAGTCATTATTCCTCGTTGTGGAAATAATCACCATTTTTTAGCCGCTCGAGTTACTTGGCAACCAAAATGTGCTTCACTTGATAAACATCAAACAAATCAGCATCCCAGTGTTTGTCCAAATGCGTCAACATGTATTTTCACTCGTAAGAGGATGCAGAAACTATCGTGTGATGACTAGGCTGGAAAACAGAGATCGTTTCTGCAGTGCATCATGGATAATTCACGAAGAAGAAACTGCTCAGTGTCCTGAAACCCTGATTAACAGCTTCACTTCATTTGCTTGGTCTCTAGTACTCCGTTTTTACTCAATGTTGCCATATTAAAATCTAAATTAATTATTAATTAGTTAACCAATTTATTATAGGTAAGATGCAGATGCATGAAAAACAAAGTAAAACACTTTAAAATAATTCACGATAGATAAAACAACCTTTGTTGTCTTGCAGTGAAGTAAACCAATATTTGTAACTTAATATATTATGTTGTGATATAATGTAATTTAATATAATTTATTTAAAGTATATATATATATATATATATATATATATATATATAAAGATTTTGTAATTCAAATATTTATTTAGATGATTAATATATGATATTAAAGTTAAACTGGTGCAACAAATGTGAATGATGCTCATATTTATTGTCACATCAGTGAAAATGTGTGACTGTGTAACACTGCCATCATGTGGTCATTCATTACAATTACATAAAAAATGTTTAAAAATTCATTCTCACAGATGTCAATGCTAAAAAAAAGTCAGTTCACAGTAGGACTAATATAAAACAATATCATATAAAGCATATCAATTTTGGTCCTTATATCCAACATTCAGTCCTTGTGATGCTTCTCGTCTTTATTTTAATTCACTGGATTCAGCAGCATCTGACAGCCTGAAGACTGTAGGAGGAACAGATTAGAAATAGACATGAACATCGTAATTTTGGAAAGGCAAAACATCTGCAGAAATGAGAAAATATTCAAAGAACACTTTCTTGTCCAGACTAAAGAACATGTACACAAGACACATATTCACATGCCCTTAAAGGAATAGTTACACTAAACATGAAAATGTATTGAAAACGTCAGATCATCTGAGATCAGGATGAGTTTGTTTCTTCGTCAGATCTGGAGAAATGTAGCATTGCATCAGTGTCTCACTGCAAGTGAATGGGTGCCGTCAGAATGAGAGCTGATAAAAACATCACAATAATCCACAGCACTCCAGTCCATCAGTTAACATCTGGAGAAGACAAAAGCTGAAACACATCCAGCATTAAGACGCTTTTAACTCAAATACGAGTCCATATGTTCTCAGAATGTTCTTTCAAAGTTATGAACAAACGTTCTTCTAGTAATGTAAATAGAATGTTTTTGTTGTTGTTGTTGTTTGCACAAAAGCATTATGCATCTTTCATGGAATGTTTTATTTCTGAAACATCTTGATTCAACGTTCATATGACGTTTTTGTTAAATGTTGCTACTTGTTTCAGAACGTTCAGAGAACATTCAAAAGTAGCGTTCCCATGATGTTTGCCAAATTACAAAATGGAACATTCCCTTCATGTTCACATGACCACAATAAAACGTTCTTGAAATATTTTAAACTGGGCATTTTTAATGTTCAGAGAACATTAATTTGAACTTAACTTAATAAGAATGTTAGTAAAATGTTTGGTGAGGCAACGGTTTAAAGTTAGAAACGTCTTAATGCTGGATGTGTTTCAGCTTTTGTCTTCTCCAGATGTTAACTGATGGACTGGAGTGCTGTGGATTATTGTGATGTTTTTATCAGCTCTCATTCTGACGGCACCCATTCACTTGCAGTGAGACACTGATGCAATGCTACATTTCTCCAAACCTGATGAAGAAACAAACTCATCCTGATCTTGCGTGAACTATTCCTTTAATAACGCAATGAATATAATATAGAATATCCTGACTTTAGTCATTGAAAGAATCAGTCATTAAAGTACCTCAGCTGTTGCTTTACTGTGATATGAAAGCGTCTCCCGCAGCTCCGTTCTTGAGGTTATCTTCAGCTGGTTTCTCAGGACATTCAGGCGTCACGTCAGCTCTTCGGCCTGTGTGTGTTGAATCGTCCGCCAGCGTAAAGCTGCACCAGGAGTCGTGTGTTGGATCCTGAGTCTCATACGGGAAGGTAAAAGAACACAGCGCTCTCTGCATCATAACGTTCTTCCATTTCACACTTGACTTCGGTCTGGGAGTGTCTGGTTTCTGAAGAGCGTCTGCGTTAGACTGTGTGCTTCTGATGGATGAAGGATTCTTGAACTGAACTGGCTCCTGTTTCATCTCAGTGGCATCTTCACAGTGTTTGAGTTCTTCTTGAAAGATCTTCAGCCGTGAAACCAAAGACGCTTCAGAGTCCGGTGTTGTTGTGTCAGGCTTTTCATGCAGACGTTGTTCAAGTTCATCTGCGTTCGTTTCAGTGTGAGCTGTTGATTCCTCATTGGTTTGGACGTCCGGTTTGAGATCAGATGAATCGTGGCCGTTAATGGTTCTGTGTGCAGGTGCAGAAGCTTCTTTGATTGCACTAGAATTAATATCAGGGAGATCGAACTCAGCCGACACGCTTGAAACATCAGCCAAAGAAAACGAAATCATTCTGTTGTGACTCTGTTTGTCTGTTTTCCCAGGTCGCTGTCTGTTAACTGGGTTAGCGGTCATCGGGCTGCTTTCTGAACTGCTGCTGTCCAGTTGTCGGCGCCACAAGCGGCGACTGGTTTTTCTCGGCGGCGCCCGGATCACTGGAGACGACAAATCTCGGAGATCATCCTGAATCTCAGAGGAGCCTGTGAGATCAGATCACATGTGATTCAGAAGTCGCCTTTCATCTTTACCGACGTTTGGGGTCAGTAAGATTTTTATTGAAAGAAATTCATATGCATTAAATTGATCAAAAGTGACATTTATGATGTGACAAAAAATGCTGGATTCATCTGTGAATCCTAAAAAATAAAATGCATCATGGTTTCCACAAAAATATTGTGCAATTTCCTGATTTCTGAAGATCATGTGACACTGAAGACTGGAGTAATGATGCTGAAAATACAGCTGCGCATCACAGAAATACATTACAGTTTAACAGAGATTCACATAGAACACAGCTATTTTACATTTTAAAAATATTTCACATTTTCACTATATTTTTGATCAGATAAATGCATTTTGAAATGCTTCTTTCAAAAACACTAAAACATCTTTCAGAAACCAAACTTTTGAACATTCATGTATGCTTATATTTCGGACATGTTTAGCCATATTTAGCCAGTTTTGTCTTTTAATAACAATAATATTTTTAACCAATTTAAAAGGGTGATATCTACAGATCATAAACTCGGCAAACATGGAAGATGAATTCTAAAATGATATTTATATGGTGTTTTGCCATATAAATAGATAAGATACTAACTATGTATAGGCCACTATGTTCACATTTATACAAATTTGCATCTGTACATAAGCCTTCTGATTACTCCACCTAAATGCATGCATTACTTGTTTTTATTTTTATTCCTACTTACTGAAAATTGATTTCTATTCTTGTCTTGTATATATATGCATGTACCCAGAGCTCCTGAAAGCCTCAACAAATTGCTTTTGTCTTTGTGCACACTTGGAGAGTTAATATATTCAATTAACATTCAAATGATATTCAAATTTGGTAAAGACTGACCTTTAACACGAGTGGGCGCCGCAGGTGATGCCTGACCCTGTAATGAAACGGTTAATTATGCAGGCTGACACATCCATGAGATGAGAATTAAAACATTCACCTTCTCCCTGAGACACGTTGTGTTTGCTCTCATAATTTTGGTGATGGAAATAATATGAGGTGGTAGAAAAACCTTCATTCCAGTACTTTAGCAAGAGAGTGCAAAGTTTATTGGGGAAACGCAATATTTTTGCAAGCGAACGCCGTTTCTTGTGGGAACACAAATGTTTTAGGATCGAATGTGAATGTTTTGCAAGAGAACGCAACTTTTTCAGGACAAAGTCAATTGTATTAAGAGCGGACGCAAATGTTTTGTGAGAGAACGCAACATTACTGCAAATGAGAGTTTTGCAAAGGAACACAACGTTTCTAGAGGGAATGCAATAGTTTTAGGAGTGGACACAAAAAGAAAATGCAAAGTGTCTCGGGGGAACACAATCGTTTTGTGTGGAAACGCAAATGTATTGTAAACTAAAGAGAAAAACGCTGCACAAAGTTTCTATGTGGAACGCAAACGTTTCACCAGAGAACACAAATTGTAAACTAAAGCAAAGTTTTTCTGGGCAATGCAAAAGTTTTGCAAATGAGTGCCAAGTTTCTCAGAATAACGCAGAAGTTTTGAGAGCAAAAGCAAAAGTTGTAATAAAATATTTCCTCCCATCTCATATTTATCCATCATCATCACGCCTCCTTAAGGGCTCTGTAGATACTAATGAAGGACATTCACTCATTTAGAAGTGAACGAGCAGCTGCAGCACAAAAGCAGTCATAAGTAGCACAGGTATATTTGTAGCAATAGCCAACAACGCAATAATAATCGACTTTATGCCAAAAATCATTAGGATATTAAGATCATGTTCCATGAAGATATTTAGTAAATGTCCTACTGTAAATATATCAAAACTTAATGTTTGATTAGTAATATGCATTGCTAAGAACTTCATTTGGACAACTTTAAAGATGATTTTCTCAATATTTAGATTTTTTTGCACCCTCAGATTCCAGATTTTCAAATAGTTGCATCTCAGCCAAATATTGTTCTATCCTAACAAACCATACATCAATGGAAAGCGCATTTATGACTGGTTTTGTGGTCCAGGGCATGTCACTGACCTCCAGCTTGTGCGGTTTCTCATCGTTCTGTCTGCGTCTCCTGTTGTTGGACAGCATCCGGTAGAGTTGTAACTGTTTCCTATATCGGCGGCTGCGGAGCATGTGGACCGGCCGCGTGCGGAGGCTGCGGTGGGACTTTAGGGAGGTGCTGGAGGGTGATGGAGAGGAGTCTGTCCCGGAGCTGCACAGCTGCAGGTCTCTGACGGAGCGAGTCATCGGCTTCGGACTATTCGAGTCTTCACACCGATTACGAAGCATTTGCACTCGCTTCAGCCGCTCTCGGAAGCTTCTGGGCTTCGGCTTCAAAGACCCCGTGAAGCTCAGTATGGGAATCGGCATCTTCCAGATGCGTATGGCTCTCCTGAGCAGTTTGTGAGAGCGGGTGTTTAAGTAGATGGCGGGATGGGCCGCACCGATGCTCTTGTTTCGGCGGCGGGTTTGTGGAGCAGACTCCTGCTCCGGTTCATTAGCAGCTGATGATTGAACATCAGAGGAGCTCATGGATGAGGATGAAGCTTCTGCAGCACCGGACAACATTGCTGGACAAAAAGAAACATCTCTTAACCTCGAATGCAATACTCATTCACATATCAATGACCTGTATACAAGTTACAAACAGTCCCTGTACCTGTCTTATTGAAGAATCATTGATATGTGTCCCTGATATGGGTCACAATTATACATTTCTCTTTTATGCCAAAAATCATTTTCATGGAAAATCATGTTCCATGAAGATATTTTGTACATTTCCTACCGTAAATATATCAAAACTTAATGTTTGATTAGTAATATGCATTGCTAAGAACTTCATTTGAACAACTTTAAAGATGATTTTCTCAATATTTAGATTTTTTTGCACCCTCAGAGTCCAGATTTTCAAATATTGTCCGATCCTAACAAACCATACATCAATGGAAAGCTTATTTATTCAGCTTTCAGCTGATGCATAAATCTCAATTTCAGAAAAAAATTACCCTTATGACTGGTTTTGTGCTCCAGGAACACATACAGGGCCGGAGTTTATGTGAGTTTCATGCCTTAGACCAGCCCACTTTTTTAAATCTATTATTCGCTCGCATATCTCCTACAACTGAGGTTCTTGTTTTTGTTTTGTTTTTTAAAAAGGTGCCACCGTCAGGGGAGTCAGAAGATAATTACATCATCATTAGGGTTGCCAATTAACTTCAGAAATGGAAAATAAGGGCTAACTGTGATTCTTTATCTTTTATTCTTTAAAATAAAGAAAATAAGGGACAGAATAATGGATGATCCAAATATTTGTACTGTACCATAATGTAGGCCTATATCAGCCTGCAGTTAAAAAGTTCTCAGAATAATCACTTTTGTTTTGCTTAACCCATTTATGTACAATTATTCAAAAAAATAAATTAATGTCACACAAAAAATGCAAGCATAAAACATTTTTGCTAAACTGATTTTGTAAAATCAAAACGCGCCTACGTTTACAAATAACAATAATTTTCGCAAGAAGAATGATCAACTATCAATTGAGAATTTGTTATTATTATGGTCTGGTGAAAATAATAATATGGGCTGCGAGAATATAATAAATAAAAAGACTAGGGCTGCTGAGAGTGCAGTTTTTATTTAAAATAAAAAAAAAAGTTTTAGTATTTTTTTGTCATTTTTATTAGTTTTTCATCTGTCTTTAAAGTTTTTATTATTATTTATTTTAATTATTTCAGTACTTAATCTAAATCTAGAAATATGCTTCCTTGGCAACTAATCAAAATCAAAATAATTGACTTTTTTATATTTTATTTCAGTTCATGCTCATTTTAATTTCAAGTATGTGTGTATTCATTCATTTAATGATTCGTTTGAACTATAATGACCCTGACCTGAATCTCCCCCAACAGTTAAGAAGTGTTTTAAATAAATGTTTATAAAAATTATTTGTAAGAAAAATTAATAAATACAAATAATAAATCGTCTGATGTCTAATGACTGTAGTAAAAGCAGAAACTATGACTACACACTCACACAATCTACTCATTATAGTGACAATACTGTCACTTAAAATACACTGAAACTGCTCTG